GTCCATATCATCGTATCGTCGTATCATGTAACCTAGTGTACTCTGTCGCGGCACGTGCGGGGGGAGTCGACTGGTCCAGACACAGGTGGGCCTCGCGTGGGTATCCACACGCGTCCACCGTGGTCTGTCCTGTGTCTTGCCCTGTATACGTAATACGTACGAGTACCCCATAAAGCGTATGCGGACTGCGGACCAAGTATTCAAAGGAAACCAAAATTTCTAATCAAAGTAGTCCACTTGAGTGCTTCGTTGTTGCCCCTACCAAATATCATAAAAACGGGATCGAAAAGAAAACATTCCTACCGGTACTCGTACTTGGTACTTTACTGTATGAACAGCATCGAAAAGAAAAACATTGCAACGAACTTCTACGAAGCAATCAGCCATTCTCGAAATAAATTTCACGACTAAGTTCTGCTGGTAGAGTTTGCATCAAGCGGAGGTCTGAAAAGTCATGCTTAAACATGAAAAACTAAATATACAGTGGTATTCTCGAAATAAGCTTCACGATCACGGAGGGCTATGTCCACGACTACATAGGGCTTTATGAGTTTAATATTAAAAAAATTAATACCAAAATATCTTTGTCTTGTAAATAAGCCATGGCTCTAGTCGGGTTTCAACGAAAAGGAAGAAATCAATTTAATCGTAATTTGAAGGTCCGATGCTGGAATGTCTACAAACATCATAATATCATATCCGCCAAACTAAGAAAAGCATTTAGTCTTCCCTCATAATTTTTGCGCCTGTTCAAACGAAAGTGATTCAAAAAATACGATGGTGCCGCTCAACATTGAAGAACCTACCCTTTCTCACTCATGGATGTCATCAATGCCATCTCTCTTTAATTCGGATTCACAATTATCCTACTACCACGACGAAGACGAGTTCGACACTACCAACGACTATAAGAAAGACCAATTTCCTCCTTATGTAAATCAAAGCAAAAACGTCAGATTTAGCGAATTCTCGACGCTTAAATATATACCCAGCAATGAATCTTATTCCGAACAAGAGCGAGAGGCCATGTACCTCACAACGGAAGATAAAGAGCGCATTCGAGAAGAAATCAGTGACACGCTAACAAAGATCCAATACGGTGATCTTCCCGATACGGAACTGGAATATTTCCGTGGGTTAGAATGGAAGGGAATTAGCTACCTCTACAATCAGAAGAAAGCAATTCGAGAGATCACTCTGTCTCTGATCCTCAGCGAACAAGAACAAATGAATGAAATTTGTCCGGACTGGATCGAAAACGTCTACTCGACAATGACAAAAGATTCGGTTGCCAAGGCACGCAAGATGGCTCGCTGGGATGCGCAGTGTGTGGATATGTCCGCGCAGTAATCTGGACTGCAAGTTGACAAGCTATAACAACCGCAATTGTACAATAAATGCCCAAAGATATTAGAATGTATACAAATGTACGCACAAAAATGAAGATAAAAATAGATCAATGCAAATGTTTAATAACAATATTTCAGCAAACAGTCTTATGGTATTTTGATCTAATCTTCTAGCCGCTGTGTCCAATCGAATGATTTCCACTTGGCGGAAAACTCGGCAACCAGTTTTGATTCCGTGTCTTTCGGGAATTTCACCTTGCGCTGAAAGCGCACCGGATCCAGTTCCATCATACCTGCTAGTGTATCTAGACCAAAGTCGCGGGGGAAGCTAGAGGACTCAATGATCTGCGCGTATCCCGTGCTGTCGCTGGTCGCAATGTTTCCCCAATCGATGTGAAAGTACGGGAATCGCTTGGGAACGACGGACCGCAGCGGCTTCTTGTGTGACGTACGAAACAACTTTGTGTGGGTCCCGAATTCTTCGGCCTGTTCGACCAGAGCGGATTTGAAGTAAATTGGTGCGTCTTGCAGCTGCGAAAAGGGAATCGGAATCACCTCGACCCGGGTCTGCCAAAAGTTCTTGTTCGGGAGCACCGTTTCGCAGAGCACAAGGCCCTTCCGCTCTTTCGCATACATATTTTCGAGGCTGCTTCGAAAGAGCTTCATTTCTTCACGAACGTCTGGATCGTCGCATTCCGCCATTGAAGGCGCGTGTTTCAGTGGGACGAGGTAGAACTGGTGCCCGGGCAGTAGAGACGAATTCGGAGGGGCCATCATGAGCGAAACGTGCTTTCCAAACGCCAGAAGGCGGTGTTTCGCAAAGCTCGACGAATTGATCCACCAAGAGCACATGGACGTTATCTTTTCTTGCTTTTGGTAGCGATCAATCTGCCGCCGTCGATCCCGCTGCTCTTCCTTTTCGAGTTGCTTCGCTGCTCTCTTGGCACTGCTTCCGCTACCACTTTCGTTCAGGTGGTAGTCCGGCAGGTGTCTTTTCATGCGCTCAACTTCCTCATCGCTGTCTTCCCCGGCAGCGGTCCTTGCTTTCATCTTGCGTTTTTTCCCTACCCGCATGATGTTCCGCGCCATGTGTTCGTTCCACGACATGGAGTTTTCTCCTCCCGTGGCTCGTTCCTTGGCCGCCAGTTCTGTTGCAGTCATGTCTTCCTCGCGCTTTTTGCTATAGGACGCGGACGTACCAGGTGCGTCCAAAACAATCATCGAGGCACCGGCCGAGGTACCCTCAACCCTGCCTTTACCAACGACTCGTTCCATGTAGGACCCGGACGACGCCGGGGCTTCTTCCGTAGCGGTGGAAGGTTTGCTGCTCTTTTGGAAGGGAACGCCCGACGCCAGGGCTTGTTTCAATCGTTCTGCTACAGATAAATTCGCTTCGTTTTTGTGGTTAGCGTTCGCGACGGTGTTGTTGCTGCTATTCACCTTAGAATTGACGATGCGAGGATGGGGGTCACGAATACTAGTCGCATCGCTGTTTGGCTCCGAAGGAACATTTTCGGTCTTTGCCTTGGACTTTTTCTTTTTTGCCTTTCCGGTTCGAATTCCCGATAGCATACTACCGTTTCTAGCTGCAGGTGCAAATTCTAACTCCTTTTTGCTGTTCTTGGCTGATTGAAAATCACAAGCGGAGGAAAGACAGTTGACTTGCGGCAAGCTATTGGTGCTTCGTGTAGTAACAGAGATTCACCTCTTGCTTGCGCGGTGTTCAAAAGGGTACTGCTCAACAGAGTCTGGTCGAGACTTCGTACCGGCCGGTACCGTACTGTACGGTACGACAGAGAGTTTTGATCCACAAAAAAGTTGCTACCGGTATTTGCTACTGTATTTCCTCACTGAAACCTTAACTAAACCTTAAAATTAAAACCCAGTCGACATTCATTTCGTATCATATTCAATATTCATATCAATATTCATATCAAAGTAAGATAAATTGTGTATGTATGACTGTGATCCACAAAGAGGTAGCGACCTGGATCTTCTACCACTGATACTGTATTCTACTGTAGTTTACATCACGACATCACCTTTCACGAACTTTTTGGTACGGTACGTACCGTAAAGTACTGCCTCCTCAGATATCTCAATCGGAAGGATAACAGAAAAACATCAACCGAACCACTCAATTACTTTCGCAAGAGAACCAAGCAGATTGCGTTAGTTTACCAGCTTCTTGTCGAGTTTAAGGGAAGTAAGTTCAAGGATAAGAGTGGAGAAGCGTATCTCAAAACCTTGCTTTTCATAACGGATCCGACAGCTGTCGAATTGCTCAGGATGAGCGATCATATTCGCCATCGCAACGTCGATGTCGATCCCGATCCCAAGGAGCAACCGTCGGGTATGGATAATAGCACTAGTCAACTTAGAATTCCCAAGGCCCCATATCCACCTATGAACATGCAGTCGTCGGTACCTTCCAAGTCGTCTCTTTCTCCCTCTCCCCACTACTCCACGACGTATGCGCGAGCGAGTTCCTCGACCTCGCTTCTCGGAGAACGCGTGACCACAACGACGACGGCACCCGAGTCGGGGCTATTGGGAGATTCAGCTTCGAACACATTTTTGGGTGGCACGACGAACGCTGCGAGCGTCGACGATGGCAATGGTGGCTTCTCGTCGGGGTCAAAACACTACAACAAGAACAACAACGCCGGGGTGAACAACAGCAGCAACAATGGCAATAATTCCTCGGCCGCGGCAGCCAATCCATCTCAATTGATGTTTTATCCTGGTCAACACGATATCGTCGCGTCCATCAATTGCATCTCTTCGTTATCGAAGAATAATGACGAACCCGGAATGCATGGGCACGACAACAGGAACAACAATCCCCGCGGAAAAAATGCTCGTTCGTCGATCTCGAACACAATTGGCCCACGACTTTTGGAGCTAAGATGCTTGGAATTAGCGACTCATCAAGAGGAGGACGACAACGACGAGAACAAAAATATCCGCAAAGATTCCAAGGAGACTCTCGATTCCAGATCCAGTTTTTTTACAACTCGAACCGTCGCAGTATCTCGCGGTAAGCCCAATCTCGGGACTACATCGGTTGGATCAACATGCATGGATTTGCCTTCACTGGGAGTTGTAAAGAACTACGATAGCAATGGTGCTACATTTATGGCTGTCACGGGACTCAGCACCGGTGCGCTTTGCCTGCACAAATTTCACGAAATCGAACCCGCTGCTCTTCTCGACGGTTCCAACAACCTCAACCCCGACGCGATGGATATCAAACCAAGCGTCGGCAGCAACAGCGAAGAAGACATGGTTTACGCGTCCTCGATTGATTACTTTCACCCCCGACACCATCGAAAGGCCACGTCCGTGGCGTGGCGACCCACAATACACACCAACCATGTCGCCATCGGAACCGCGGGTTCGAGCGCCATTGCGCAGAACAAACCCATCCCCGGTCAGCTCCATCGGCCGACCGGGCCCATCAGCATGCGTTCCCGAGCCAGCGACCGAGAGTATTGTTGCTTTATATGGGACATTCTTGATAGCAAGAAGACCATGCCGCTTTCGAAGTTCGCCCACAACAGCCCGGTTGCATCCCTTGCATGGATGATGGACGGGCAAACGCTAGCCGTTGGGGGGCAGCAACGGACCATTCAGTTGTACGATTTGCGCCTATCGACAACTAACAACAGCAAGCTGCCCCCTTTGTCTGCATACGCGCACGAATCGGGGGTTCACGGCATCGAAGTTCATCCCCAGCGTCCACATTTGATGGCGACGTTTTGTCGATCGGTTGGGGAACCCGTCAAGCTATTTGACATTCGTCGAATGGATTCGGCGGTTGGCGAAATCAAGCTTACGAGCAGTGGTGGTCAAAACACTAGTAGCAGCACTGCGTCTATGCCAACGTCTATATCTTCCCAACGGATGCAACAAGCCAAGGCAGAGGCTATTCAATGGAATGTGCTTGAACCCGGTATGCTCTCCATCGCAACAGGCGAATCGGTACAAGAGTACGATACAAATTCGGGTTCCCGCCCTAGTTTGGTACGAGTGAACCGCGTCAGAAAAGGAGGGAAAACAATCAAAGCCATCGCTTTGTATCGCGGCAAGGAAGAAACAGCTTCCGACGGCCATGTTGCTTCCGTAGACAGTACCGTCGGTAGAAAAACGAATGTAGGGGACTCCGATAGATTATTGTCCAGGCTTTACCCTCGACGCATGGTAGCCGTTTTGGAAGATCAAACCATCGAGGATATGGCAAGAGATGCAAATGCTCCCCTTGCTATTTCTCCTCGGGATGGTCGCCTCTTTCATGCTTTGGGCCCGCATTTGTTTATGAGATCTCCGAGCGAAGGGCCATCTGCTATGGAAAGAATAATCGAAAGAGCCGAAATGAAGAAAGTTTACGAAGAGGAAGACATTTCTGCAACCATGATGAGACGTGCTAGGTGTGTTCAAGCAAATCCATATTCAATGAATCCAGAAAGAAATATTAAGCTGATGTCACGTGAAACACTTAATGAAGAAGCTGTTGACCATGAAGAAGCGTCCGAGCCATCAGGGCCAGCGTTACCAAAGTACAGAAATCGCGCATTGCTCAGATTATGGGGTTGGATTGAGCGAGTGGAGTCACTTTCATTTCAGGAAGTAGACGATGCGGAATCGGAGTTGCGACTTACAAAGGAAATATCCAATGCAGGAGTCTTACAGCTTTTAACTTCTCAAGAAAGCAATGCGAATGAAAGGGTGGGAGACGAACAAACGGTGTTTTCAGAACTCTTGTCGTGTAACATTTATGACAGTGCTGCGAGACGCGCAGCTTTATCGTCGTGTGGCTGGGCTGGAAAGTTTGATCTAAACATTGTCATGGCAGAATGTGAGGCACTGGGTGAATACGAAAGATCTGCCGCTCTGGCTGTATGGCACGAAGATGTAGGGGCTGCTGTCGATGCATTACAGCGTGCGACCGAAGCAGTGCATCAACAGGCACAGGGTGGCGAGACTTCTTTTTCGTTTCCAGTCAGTACCCAATACGCGGAGACCCTGGGCTTGATATCCATGTGCATTGCGGGATTCGGGGGGAAAACAGAATCTCAGCGAAGTGTCTGGAGGAGAGCATGCGCGAATTTGCTACAAAGGGATGACCTATCGTCGACTAGATCCAAGCATAGTACAAGGGTAGCGTATCTTCGGGCTCTTTGCGAATTTTTACTGAACGCAGGAACAATTGAAAGTCTACTTCGAGTACTGGAAAATACCCATTTAAGTTTGTGCGATCGCGTAGCATTTGCTTGCCGCTTTCTAGAGAAGAGAGAGTTGACGGCGTATTTGCTTAGATGTGTCGAAATTTGCCAAGAACTAGGTGATGTGGAAGGATTGTCTATCACAGGGCTTTCGAAACCTGGGATCAAGATTTTGCAGTCCTTTGTCGACCGATACACTGATGTCCAGACAGCAGCTCTAGTTGTCAGCCGTGTGATACTACCAATGGACTGGGCAACTGAACGAAAGATTTGTTTTGAATGGGTCGAATCATATAGGAATTTGCTGAATTTGTGGCAGATGTGGCAGAGTCGAGCCATGTTCGATGTTGATAGAGCCGATGTTTTGCGTCGCTTTAAGGCTCGCAATGGAGGAGCAAGCTATCAGAGACGCATGCCGAACCCACGAGTACGACAAAGTCCAAGACCTCCAGATCCTGATATACTGCCACGCATTCCTGCACAACTGGAAGCCAGATGCAATTACTGTTCGTCACCACTTTCCCTCAAGAGGCAAGAAGGTACCACAAATCAATGGCTATCGAAGATGCAACCTTTGCTCAATTGTTGTCCCCAGTGCCGAAAGCCCCTCCCGCGATGTTCGATTTGCTTGCTTTCAATGGGAAGTCTCAACCCTTATATGGAATTAACCAGAGCACGCCAAGGGCCTCGTGGTGCAGGGAAAAGTCTACCGTCATCAGATGATTTGTCTTCTCTCTCGTCCATGAATTTTTCAGAATGGTACACATGGTGCATGAAGTGAGTATTGATACTTATTTTCCTGGAGGAGCGTGAGCTGAAAAATTAGGAATTTTCCCTCATAATGGTACACTAATGCTTTCGCCCCTTCTTCACTAAAACAGGTGTCGTCACGGAGGACACGCCCATCATATCATCGGTTGGTTTTCAGGTCAAAAACAATGCCCCGTTAGTGGTTGTGATTGCGAATGTGAATTCGATGGCGCAATCAAAATTTCCCGCCCAGCCATATGCATGGTTGCTGACACCTGAAAGATTCAAATACGATGAGTTCCTCTATTCCAATATTGATTTTATCAGCATAGGTGGCATATGAATGCAATTGCTTCGTGTTCTTAATACGAGAAGCATCGCAAACGCTACAAAGAACATATTGTATGATTTAGTGATAAAAAATTGGGCTTCGAATTACTCTTCTTTTCACTACAAAATTACACTAAATGTATGAAATCTTACGATAGTTGCCAGTGCAATGTAATCGACTATTTCTCATCCAGTATTTTACCCCTCAAAGTCAAAGGAATCAATTGGTTTCGAACTTTTCCTTTTGCCGCGCTTTCCAACGCTGGCGAGCGCCGTTTTCTTGACAACTTTCTTGGCTTTGAACTTTGAGCTTTGTTTCGATCGGACAATCTTGATATCTTTCGGGCCTCCTTTTTTCTTAATTGCAGTCGCATTTTCCTTGTCGTCGACAGCAAGTTTCCGAGATGATTTTCTTCGTCGATTATGCGCAACTTCTGCCTTTTTGTCCCCTAGAGGCTTCGTCTTTTCATTTCCTTGAGATGAAACACGTCCAATTGAGCTTTTGGCAGTGGATTCACTCACAGTTGTTGGGCTTTTGGAGTCTCTATTTTCATGGGGCCGAGGCGACCCAATAGCAACTGACGCAGATGCAGTAGCTGGGAACGAGGCGTTCCGGAGGGACGATGGAGGTGTTGTGCCTCTTGTTTTTGTTTCCGACGAACTCAGTAACAGCTCCTCATTTTTACTGTTACGGGAACTCCTCCTGTTGATGGGAGACAACCCTCCAAAATCAATTTCAGGAGAAAAGTGTACGCGACTGTCGGCGGAGATACTTTTGGAAGCATCTGATCGTCGCTTTTTATTGGAGCCGCTTCCAAGTCGAGAACTCGAAGGGTCGTCTTCACCTTCAGTCGAAAGCATAATACCACGAGTAGAGGTAACTGTGCTCTCGACATCCTTCGACGACGGGGTTGATTCAATAGTTCCTGTTCCATTCTCGGTTGATTCATTTCCATGTTCAATACTGATGCTACCTGATGTGCTTGAGTCCCTCGAATCGTCGAATTTAGTCGATCTAGTTGACCTTGTGGATCTTCGAGGCGCAATTTGTTGGGTATTCTTTCTTGTAATACCTACATTTCCGTCAACTGAATATCCAGATATTTCGTCTGTGCTAGATGACACTCTCGAGTCACCATCTCCGTAAGTATTAGTTGAACCAATGGATGCTGTTCTTGTCGATATTCGAAGAGATCTTCGCCTCCGACTCGTATCTGCGATGCTTGCTTGAGTGTCATGGGAGTTTCTAGACGCTTCATCAGTTTTTGCAGTCGTTTTTGAACCATCGACATCGTGCTTTGTAGCGGATCTTGTAGATCTTCGGGTTTGCTCTTGCTTGGTATTATTGTTGCCAAAAGGATGATCCTGGGTGTGCTTCTCGTGTTCCTTAGAGCTAGCTGGTCTTTTTCGATTCAGGTTTGAACTTATTTTTTGGTTTTGAATCTCACTGTCTTGCGTAGTAATCATCATGTCAATGATTGGAGATGTATCTGTCGTGATGGAGTCTTCCTGTACTGGTCTCTTGCGACTTTGTCGTTTGCGGAAGAGATTGCCAGGCATCCGTATCGCACCGGGATGCGTGTCAAGATTCGCGTCTGTCTTCACGTACGACAACAATACCTCTCGTGCCGTCGCACATATATTTTTCAATTTATCCCCGTCCCTTGAGCTGTTGTCACTTCCTGGGGAGCTAAGCGAGCAACCTATAGGTTGGAATGATTTTGCTAGCATTTCTGCCATGCGGAGAAGAAAGCTGATGTTATCGGCCGATGTACCGAGTTGGAGAACGAGTGGATCGTACAGAGCTTTCAAGCGTTTTCGAAGGATTCTTTGTCCACTCTCATCATCGTCGTTCGCCTTCCTAGATTTCCCGGTGCTTGGTCCAGTCGACGAGGGTGTTTCTTGTCGACAAGTCAGAAGATGAAATGAATAGGGCACAGCATATTCTGGCATGATGGTAAGCTTGGTAAATGTCTCAAACTGTTTCTCAGCTTCTGGCCCCTGCGCCCGGCACTGTACGGCGTATGATTCGTATACTTTCCTCAGGTCAGTAATACAACCAGCGATGTTCCCTTTCTGATTGTGAATCGCTTTTCCTATGTTCGCTGAATTGCCATTCGCCTTGGAATGCGAGCCTTGACTTCCATCGATACAAAACACCGACATTGCAACGAAGCGCAATCGGGGTGCCATAACGCCCATTCCGTATGCCGTAGAAAACTTCCCATGGCCCGTGATCATCAGTCCAAACTCTTCCATAGCCGCTTTTCTTACAACAGGTTCGTCGTCGAGTAAGCTCGAAGCCAAAGTGTGCCATCGCTCCGTTGTAAGGTGTTTCTGATCGAGTCCTAGGCGGGTATCGCATAGACGAAAGAGATGGATCGCCGCACATTGCCTCAGAGCGGCTCGATCTTGACGAAAACTACACACGTCGCGGTCTCTTGATGATGGAGGCAAACCTTGGTCTCGCAATATTTGCGAGAAAATCTTGAACGATTGTTCGATGATGTCCTGAGTCGTTTGAGTAAAGGTCGAACGAGATTTCTTGGCAACGAAAACGCTAGATCGGATAAACGCAGACAAGAGTTCAATTGCAGCGCAGATCGTGCGGCAAGGAATCGATAGATTCTGGTCTTCGACTAGACTCGTATCTGTAGCCTTGGGGCTGAGATGCCTGCTCTTGGCGCTTGATGACTTTCGATTTCGACCACGCTTGGGAGTTCTTGTATCGTCCGCTTCATCGTAATCGTCGTCGTCGTCACCACTTGTTACGTCGACACGGGCGCGGCCCATCAACACCATTTCGAGGGCAAACTTCAGCGCCTTCGTTCCACGACTCGAAGATTCAAACACCTGGGGGGCATTGTTTGCCAGCTCCGTTAGAGCAGCCAACACACACACCAGCTTCGTGGAAGATCCAGTCGACGCTATGGCCAATCGCGAGGGAGTGGCAAGAGTTTCGAGCAATGGAAGAAAAGTTTTGGTTTCTTCCTGGGTGAGTTCCGCACCATTCTTCGGCTTGAGGAGCGATGTAATGGTTGCCACCGCATGCCGAGCTTGTTCCGGGGTGCCATTTCGACATAGGTTCACAAGCTTTTTGTAGAGATCATCCTCCAACAAGGACGAATCGTCGCTTGGGTCTCTATACGGCGCTACGGAGGCAAGAATGGCGCTGAGTGCGGTAACAATCGCGGGTCCTTCCGTTTGATTTTTCTGAGAAGAACCGTTGCAATCCTGGAACAACTCGCTCAGGTTCTCAAAGACTTCCCCGGATGCGCAGAGGGAAGGAAAGGATTCTACCGCCATTTGAACGCATACCAAAAATTTGAGGGTGGCATCCAAGTCTCCTTCGTGAAAACATTCTTGGGCCAGCAGCACACAGTGATGAACGACATCGAGGTTTACGAAATCTCCCATGGCGCAACGTTTTGCCAGCGATTTGACCCATGCAGACACGGCATCCCCGGCCGTTGCCTTCACCCGCTTCGGCAAGTCGTCGATGGCCTTGGCACGACACTTTGAAGAATGGCTCGGGTTCGTGATCGTGCCCAAGACGAGAAAGACGCGCTTGTCTTTGCTGGAATGAAATTTTTCCAGGACGGCGTGCCGTTCTCCGGGAGCAGGAGAAGCCCCGCTTGGCGGGGGGATCATCGAAGCTACCGTTTCCAATAGATCTTTGGCTTTCGCGTCCGCAGCAAAATACTCCTCGGAACCTGTCGTACACACATTGAAACGCAAAGGAAGCAGAGAATTGGTCAGAGAAAGAAAGGACGGCAGCGATTGTGGTTTGGATCGGAATGCCGCGCTCTCCGTTTTCTCCCGGAAGGCCACGGCGGCGCTTCCACGGACGCCTCGCGCCACGTTTTTTGCCTTCCGCTCCGTTTCCGTCGACGTACCTGTTTCGTGCCTCCGGATCTCCGCCCTCGCTTCGAGGTAGGCCTTCAGAGCGTTCTGGAGCCTGGCCCGGACGGACTGCAGCTTGGTCATCCAGAGGCCGGCCAGATGGGACTGCTTGCGGACGGCGTCTACGACGATCGCCATCGCGGTGGCCCTCCCGGTGGAGGTCAGCCTGCGCCGGTTGTCCGGATGGGGGGAGGAACACCCCAGGAGGAGCTCGTCGACCAGCTGTACGACACGCGAGTGCATGTCGGCGTCGGTGGCGTCCGAGTAGCTGGCGCTCTCAAAGAGGACGCAGGGGATCCACTGGTAATAGGAAAAGTCGTCCCTGCCGCCCCGGTCGGAGAATCCAGGGGACTCCAGAGGCCCGGGCTCGTCGTCGTCGTCGGTCTCCTCCGGCCCGCGCCGCCTCCCGCAGGACTCGGGGGCCGCGTTTCGGGACCTCGCGGCGATCAGGCTCGCGGCGGTCTCCGCGGAGAACGCCCCTGCGGCGGAAGCCCGGTCTCCCGGGAAGGAGCACCTGCGCAGAACGTCCAGGACCGACCCGATGGGACAGTCGTCCCCCCCCTCCAGGACCGCCGCCAGGTGGTGCAGGGTGTACTGCCGAAAGTGGAGCTGGACGAGGCCCGTGAGGGCGTCCTTCCGCTCCGCCCGGTCCCTGGACATGACCCGCTCCCCGAGCTGGTCCATGGCCCTCCGGGTCAGTATCTTGCGGTGGTTGTAGGAAAGGGTGCAGAGGCCCTGGACCACCTCGGTCCGGAACGCCGGGGAGGGATCCCCCGAAAGCCTCCGGAGGAGGGCCTCCTGGACCCTGAGCGCCAGGCTCGCCTCCAGCGACGAGGCCCCGGCTTCTTCCAGAAAGGAGCTCCCGGCCCGGGTCAGGGCCAGCAGGTGGGGGAGCATCCGGCGGCGGATCTCGATGCGCCTGTCCCCGCTGCGCTGGAGCCACTGGAAAAAGCTCTCCCTGTTCTTGGCGGCAACGGAAAGGCCGGAGCGGCCGGTCCCACCGGCGGCGTCGCCGCTTCCGCTGCCCGCAAAGAGCCTGCCCAGGGTCTCGACGACCAGGAGCCTCTGGCCGACGTCGGTGGTTTCGACGTGGCTCGCCAGGTTTCCAAAGACGGTGGTAAGGATCGCCGGGGCGACCCTCTGGAGCTCCAGGATGACGCCGTAGACGTTGCTGGACCCGTGGGGGTCCTGGGTCTGCCTCTGGGGCCGGCCCAGGGCGTCGGCCATTTCCAGGACCCCCCGCGGGACGGGGGGCTCGTTTCCGGCGCCGGCGTTGGAATCGGCGCTTGCCTCGCAGGCGTGGTTCGAGATCGTCGAGGCCCCTACGGCCCGCGGATCGGATTGGACCAGGCCGTTGAGGAGGCTCGCGATGGGGGTCGACAGGCGCTCGACGCTGGCGCGGACGACCGCCGAGGCGACCGCGTAGGAAGGGTTGTTCTGCCGGACGGTGACGACCGGGGCCGGAAGGGGCTGCCGCCCGGAAGCCCCGGACCCGGCCCGGGGTTTCCCGCGCGGCGGCTCCTGTTTCTGTTTCTGTTTCTGTTCCTGCTGCTGCTGCTTGAGGACCAGGACCCGCGGGCCCTGTCCGATGCAGACCAGGAGCTCGTCGAGGAGGGGGACCGGGAGGAAGGTGGTCTCGAAGAATTCCTCGATGCAGGAGGTCAGGGTCTTTCGGCAGCAGTCCAGGACCTCGGGGGGGTGCCCGTTGCGGACGGACTGCAGGAGGGTCCGGAAGAGCTCCGTCAGGACCAGGAGGGCCTCCCGGTTGGTCTGGTTCCCGGAAGGGCGGGCGGCGTTGTGGTTGGTGGTGCTATGGCTGCTGCTGTTGCCGCCGCTGTTGTCGTTGTCGTCGTCGTTTTTCTTGGAGAGATCGACCAGCAGGACGGCGATCTTGACCTCCGCCAGGAGTTCCAGGATGCGGTAGTACTCGTAGAAGTGCGCTCCCTTGGTGGTTTCGGTGTGTGTGTGCGTGTGCGTGTGCCCCAGGTTGGCCAGCTGGCGGATGGTCTGGCCGAAAATGTCCAGGGTCTCGGCCTCGTTCCAGGGGGCGGCCGGGGCGTAGAGGGCAAAGAGCTCCATGCAGGCGGCCACCGCGTAGAGGCGGACCTCCTTGTCTCTGTGGTGGATCGGGCCGGCCCTCCGGCCACGGTTCTGCGGGTCGCCCCCGCTCCCGGTGAGGGCCCCGCAGAGGCCGGCCAGGCCGGGGTAGCCGGAGGTGTCCTCGGCCTCGAGGTGCGGGTCGTCCCGGAGGCACCCCAGGACCCTCCGGAGCCTCGCCACGAGGTCCTTCTGTGTGGGCGTGCACGCGGAGCGGAGCGGAAGCCGAGGGACGGTGGTGTGGCGTGGTGTGGCGTGTAGTGTAGTGTGGAGTGGTGTAGTGTAGTGTAGTGTTTGCAAATGCATCGCGTTTCGTTGCCGAAAGCGGGACGCAATCGGCCGTTCGTGGTTGGTCCGATGCAATGCGATGCGATGCGATGCGTTGCGGGTTATGTGATGTGGTGCATTGATTGTAGTTGTCGCGTGGTGTTGGATGCGCATCCATTTCGTTTCGTTTCGTTTTGTTCCATCGCCGCAAGGGATGTTCAGAAGCAACGCCAACCGTGAAAACGAACAGGTTTTTGTTTTGTGAGAACGGAACGGGGCAGAGCAACACATACAAGAGCAACACAGAACAACACATACAAGAGCAACACAAAGCAACACAGAACAAAACGAGAAAAACGCCAGGCAGAAAAAAAGACACAACGCAACGCACCTTGCTCGAGGCCTTGCGGAGGTATTTTGCCGTCAGGATCCGCCCCGAGTGCCCGATCGCGGGGGCATGGGTGGCGGCAACGGATGCGGAAGCGGAGGCCCCCCGGGGGGACGGTGGCGGCATGGCGCTCTGCGGTGTGGTGGTTGCGACCCAGCGTGGGAACGCGTTCTTCCCCCGGACCGCTCTTTGTTCTCCTCCAGGGGCTGCCGCAGCCGGTGCCTCTCGGTCTTGGAGCGGGGAGCCGGGGTGAATGGATGGATGGATGGACCGCCTTGCCTTGCGCTGCCGTGCCTTGCCTTGCCTTCCTTGGCTTCGGTCCGCTCTTTCTTGGTTGTGCTTGGTTGGCAGCGGTACCGTACGGTATGCAGTCCGGGTGCGGATGCGTACTGTATCGTCTTGTGTGGTGGTGGAGCCGGATGGATTCGACGCTTCGTCGATCGAATCGGAGGCGAATGATTGGTATCGAACGGTATCGTATCGTATCGTATCGTATTCTTTCTTTCTTCGGTCGTGCCGGAGGCTTGCTTGCCTACCGTTCGGTATGGCACGGGTGCGATTCCGTACGACACGGCTCTGGGAACTCTTTGCTTGCACAATACACTATCGGTGCGTAGGGGTACGTACTCGTAGCTGGTACTCCCACACTGCTCCGGTATGCTGTGGGATGAAACAGGCAGAGAGTATCATTGTTCATAGCACGTTCGTATCGTATCGTATCGTATCGTATCGTATCGTACCGTACCGTACAGCGAGGTACGAGTATCGCACTCGTGCCCGTGCTCGTCCGTACGGTAGGGTACTACGGTACGAGTACCGGAGAACGAGGATGATGGTTTTCGATTTCGAGTCAAACATACCGTACAGAAGACGGGTCCGGTCTTCCCAAATCGTACGGTACGGTAAATTGCGGCAAGGAAGCGAAGTGGGCGCGGATTCATTTCCTGCCTGCTGCCGTACAGTGTTGTAGCGTATGTACCGTACGAGTAGCAGTCGGTACAGTACGAACTGTACGATTCATAGTCGTCTGCAGTGCATTCCAAAACCGAATGCTATTTTTATGGCGCGAAGTTGGAATGCGAAAAAAAGCAATGCCTGCGCAATGCGGTCCCAACGGGGCGGGGGCGCCTCCTCGGTACGATACCAGAGGCATCATCGTATCGTGCCGTACGTACTGGTACTACGGCACGCGAGGACACGACACGACACGACACGACACGATGCGATGCGATGCGATGCGATGCGATGCGACACGATCCATCCACCCTTCGTTCGCAACGAACCGCATCGCGCGAAGGTGCCGTATCGTACCGTATCGTACCATTCTTTCTGTGGATCCGCCGTGGAAACTCGTACAATCACCATGGGTGTGAAAAAAGACTCCGTCCAACACACACCGCTTGTACGGTACATACCGCCTTGCACATACCGGTACGATAATCGTACCGACGTTCCGTCCACAATCCAAACCAATTGCGAGACCAGACCTCCCATCGACCCAAACCGCGAGAGACGCACCGTCCTTTTGCCTGCGATTCTTCCTCCACGAGAACTTCCTTTCGCAACGAAACAAACGAAACCAAACCAAACCAAACCAAACCAAAACAACCAGACAACCACCATGGCAGCTCCGCCGTCGAAGCAATCCCCGTCGAACCAGAAAATGCACGGGTCCGACGACGGGACAAGGGCCACCCCTCCGAAGGAGGCCCGGCCCGCCCTCAAGGACCCTCCCCCCTCCTCGGTCTCCCGTCCGGCAACGGCCGGTGGGGCAACCCAAGCGGACCCCCCCACCTACGATTCCTCCGAATCCTCCGAGCGCTGCCTCCTGGCCCGGCAGCTCCTGAACAAGGACGACTTTGAGACCGCCCTCTCCCTCGTCGAGGAGCAGCTGGCCGAGACCACCGAGGCCGTCCGCTCGGCCCTCGGGCCGGAGGGGGCCGACCTCCACGAGGCCCTGGCGCCCCTCCACTACCTCTACGGGACGACCCTCCTGTACAGCCTCGAGGAGGCCCGGGGGGACGCCGGGGCCGCCTGCGTCGTGGCCGGGGGGGTTGCGGACGCCAGCGCGAACGCCGAAACCAGCGCCCCTCCGGCGGCCGGGGACCAGGACGCCGAGGACATCCAGATTGCCTGGGAGAACCTCGACGCGGCGAGGGCGATCGTCGAAGCGATGCTCCTGGCCGGGGAAGAAACGCTGGCACCGGCGAGGGCGGCCAAGCTGCGGCTGTGAGTCTCGCGGGTGTGTGTGTGTGTGTGTGTGTGTGTGTGTGTGTGTGTGTGTGTGTGTGTGTGTGTGTGTGTGTGTGTGTGTGTGTGTGTGTGTTTGCTCTGCTTCTGCTCTGCTCTGCTTTGGTGTTTGCAGTTTTTTTGGGTTTTGCCGCCTCGGTTTTGTTCTCACTCTTGTTTCCCCCGATGGTTCGCTCCCTTTGGTGCATCGCTGTTCTGCACCCACACACCCAAACCCGATGGCAACGACACCACACAGCGACCTGGCCCAGATCCACCTGCGGGAGGGCGATCTGCAGCGGACCAACGGCAACTACACCTCCGCGGTGGGGGACTATTCCAGGTGCTTGGAAATTCTGCAGGAGCACAACCGCACCCCCGACGAGAAGGGGACCCCCCGCAACCTGGACCGCAAGATTGCCGACACCCAGTTCAACCTCGGGCTGACCTACCTCACGAGCAGCAGCGACCTCCAGAAGGCCCTCGCGGGCCGGACCGGAAAGACCGAGGACCCGGCCTCGGAGGCCCGGAAGAAGAAGGAGGCCGAGACGCTGGCGAGGGACCACTGCGAGAGGGGCGTCCTGCAGCAGGTCGACTGCGCCGGGACCTTTTGCGGGATCCTGGCCGGCCTCTGCGGGGCCGACCCGGAGACCGTCTTGTCGGCGACGCGGGGGGGGGGCTCCCCGGGGCCCAAGACGACGGGGCTGGACGACGGGGGCGCCCCCCTCCTCTCCGAGGCGGCGACCGCCGCCTCGCGGAGGCTAGAGGCCTGGAGGACCGCCGCGGCGGCACTGGTGGGGGACCGCTTCCCGGAGGTGGCCCCCTCGTTCGGGGGCGAGGACCACCGGAAGGTCCTGGACCTTCTGCAGCTCCTGGACGAGATCCAGGAGACCATCGACGAGGCGGAGCGGTCCCTGGAGGGCGTCCGGCAGGCGGCGGAGATCCGGGTCCGGGCCCAGGAGGCCGCGGAGGGAAAGGCCTCGGAGGAACAAAAACACGCGGACGGGTCCACCACGACGATCGGCTTTGGGCCGGCAACGGCCGTGGCGGCAACGGTGGCGTCCGGTGCCAGCGCCAAGCCCGTGATGGTCGTAAAGAAGAAAAAAAAGAAGAGAACCGGGGCCGGGGCCACGGAAGACGGCTCGCCGGGGAAGCCGGCCGCCGAGAACGAGGCCTCCGGCGGCGGCGGCAAGCGAGCCAGGACGGATTAGGGCCGTGGAGCCACCGCCGGAATCGCGCGATTGGAATCCGTGTGGGACACAGGCCGTACTCGTTGGTCGAATGCCACGCTTTTGGAGTGTGGAGACGCCCGGGGCTAGGCAACCGACAGAATAGGATAGGATAGGATAGGATAACTCCGAAATGGGATGGTCCGTTTTGCTTTCCACGAGTTAAGGAGCGTTAAAAGACCGGGCCTATTTATTTCTACACTTTGCTCTATGTTTTGGCGCAAATCGTGTCTTCCTTGTTGGGCTCCTGGCATGTTTGGTTCGAACACTGGTTGCAATAGAGACCTGCACGAAAACACAGCCTTCTTTTCCGATGTCTTTGTCGGTTTCGTTGACAATGGTCTGTTGCGAGCGATTGTCGCCGCACACCAACCACTGCCGCCAGGAAACGTCATTCTGCTTACGGGGAAGGGCATCGTGAATCCACTCGTTTCGGAAGGCATAGCCGCACCGCGTCATGCCTCGTCGCATACTTTCACCAGCCATGTACTGTATCGACCGTACAAACTACCGCACCGCATCGGGGCCGCGCGGGTACGGCAGTTTGTTTCCCTAGAATACGCACGCACTAGGTGGAACCTGGTGGACCAAAGCTGTCCCGACCTAGGGCGTCGGCTTTGTGGACCGAGGTGCCACCTCCGTATTTTGCCGGGGTAGGATTTTGGTTCGTCCTCCCTCGAGTACGCTTTGAACTCAGTTGTCCACTTCGTTCCATCCGTTTCACTGCACGCGCCCGAGCGTACGTCTGTGCGTTGCGTCGCCTACAACCCAACGCGACTCGAAGTGGGCTTTTCCGGTGGTGGTCGGGACTTCCTTTGTCCTTCTAGCGGAGATAGAAATACAAGACGGGGACGGGTACGAAAAAGAACAGGAGGCACAAGATGGGCAGGGCACAGGTACCATCCGTTGTGAGGTATCACCAAATCTCGTCGCGTATGTAGTCCCAATCCCAAGAGGAGACCGGTGCCGTCGACGCGGTTTTCGCGGCAACGGTGTTCATATTCCTCGGTGGCAACGACGATAACCCCGGAGCGGAAAAAGAAGCCACGGCCTCGGTATAATTCTCTTTGGCACCGTAGCCACAGCCCTCGCAGGCATCTTTTCCCTCGTTGCTGTGGCAAACAAGGAAGTTTCGGTCTTCCATGGTGACGCGATTTCTGTTTCGTGTCGGATCAACCTGTAATACGGTACTGTTGCGACAATGGTGTTGGCGGAATGAGATACGGTCTCGAATCCTCGGAATGGCTCGACGTAAAAAAGTTTTTTCTTCTAGAAGCTTCTCTCGGACCTCAAGAGCTGGTACGAAGTACGGTACTTTACTGTACGGTACATGAATTGTATTGTACTACTACCGTACATGAACTTCTACAGGAGTACAGTACCATACTGTACATAAGTTCCTCTTGGTTCGTACTGTATGTATGATTCATAAAGTACGAGCATACTGAACAACAAGCATCTTCCGTAGAGTTTTCAAAAAGTCGTCTGCCAGTCTTCCGATCGAGTTCTCAATCGTCCTTTTTATTCCGACAGCTCATCAGCATCACGACTGACGATGGAACCGCATCTTCTAGTCAGAACAAGAATGCCTTTAGGAGAACGAAGACCCTCGTCTGTTCCGACAGAGAAGTTAGCCAAGTGATGGAGAATACTCGATATCTTCCCAATACTCAATGGTAATCAACGAAGTACAATACAATCCTTAAACCATACGTCCTTGGGAGGATTGAATCCATTCGACAATGACATCGCGCAAAATTCTTTCAATTCTGATACTGTCCCAGATTTTCTTCTGCCTCATTTCGGGAAGCCATTCTATGGCGGTGCCTCGGCCGACAGAACGCCAAAGCGGTTTCATGCAAAAGAATGTCGGGCAATCAACCACGCGCCGAGCATTTTCCGCATCGATGACTGGAGCCGCGAGTGCCTTCCTCGCGAGACAGAGACATGACGAAGCAAATGCCGCGATTTGGAATCCATTCGGGAAGGTGGAGCCCTGGACGTACGCCGACTTCAAGGGCATGGTGCAATCCGGTCAGATAGAGCAGGTTGTCTTTGGTGTGGGTGGGACGTCCCTGGTGTGTGTCGATGCGAACGGAATCACGAGGTCTCTCGAGGACCTGCCGGACGATCTGACCCTGCTCAGGGAGCTGTATCAGGGAAACGTGGCCGTGACCATGCAGGACCTTCCGCCAAGGGCGATGAGCGCCTCGGAGTGGTTCAAAGACGTGATGGGATTCGAGGAACTGACGGACGAAGAAAAGTACAAATACAGAGGCTACAAAACATTTCGTATGAACACACACGGAGAGGTGCCGTCGAGCCTGTTAACGAGTTTTTAGTTGCGAACAAAATGAAACGGAATCGACTCTACTCGACTCAAGTCGCCGTAGAAATCTATGGATTTGATTTGTTCCTGATTTTGTCATCGCGCAGATTGATACCAAATTTCAAAATCACTACCAATGATTTCAACTAGCAAAATGACAACAGAACTAGACGGTCTACAACATATTCTTTATCCACATGAAAAGAAGTCTTCCGTGACGGCGTTGAGAAAGAGTTCAACGGTATTCGACGTCAACAATACAACATTAGAAGTAGCCTTATTAAACCATAGCTCGAATAGAAAATTATGAAAAAGAAGATTTGAGGTTTTCAAAGTACGAAATATGGTTCATGCAGGCCTTAAGGGATCCAGAATAAACCCTCGCGAACAACTACTTTGCATTCCCACAAGGAAGCAATGAACGAAGCTAATATTTACTACAAGAGTACGATAAGAGTTGTCACTTGATATTGAAATTGTGAAGTTATCCATGAAATTGTTTTGTGTGAAAATTTGGATTTACTGCAGAAGCACTACTGTACCAACTTTTGGAAGAAATAAATTTGAAACCTTTTACATTTTACATTTCCTCCCCCCCCACCTATAATGCTGAAGCAGAAAGTTTTAAAGTTGGTTGCACACTGTTAATTGGATAAAACTAATAATAATGAGCCTTTGCTCCATTTATCGTCCGTTAACTGTTTTTCGACCCCTATTTTTTGTAAATTTGCGGGGTTTGTACCTATTCTCTACCCTTGAATGAACATATTTTGTGAGTGAAAATAACACATGGGTTTAGAATCCCAACCGGACTTAGTACCTCACTTATCAATTAATTTATTTTAAAAAATATTCAATGAGTTATGGTTTGAGAATTAATTTTGAAAGAGTTCATGTTTTTTTGGTACATTAGAATCCCATGGTACAAGTTTTCGAATCACGTTTTTGATTATTTCAATTGAATTTTAAATGTTTGGTTCTCTCGACAGGTCCAGTAAGATTCATGCATTTATTTTTTTGACACCATTGTATGTGCATTAGATTCCATTTTTTAAAATTAAGTTTCGCTACCATTTTTATGCATTCTCACAAGCATTAGTTTAAATTTTTATTTTAGTGTTTAATTAATGCATTTGGCACCACTGGGGCTGAGGTTTTCAGCCACGAGAGAAAGAGAATTAGTACTACAGATAATCCTTAAACCCCCTTGACCTGTGTGTATTCTAATTGACTGTGGTTGTTTTAATCAATGGGTCGATGTAAGAGGATTCCTCGTCATCCAACTCCTCCTCACCGTCCTAACCGCCATTGCTATTGATGTCAATGACAAAAGTCATTGGATTTTTTTTTAAAATCAGCATCAGACATGTTGTCCGTAGGATATCAGAC